ACATTACAAATAATCAACAAGATGTTTGACAACGCTGACAATCATCACATCAATTCGAAGAAGTACAAAAGTCATTATTTATGCTATCTGAGGACGAATCGAATAACTTTCCTAATAAAATAACTTTTCCTAATAAGTTCGTGTAAATAATCACGATATCGACGATTTTAGAGGAATTTGGACGTCATTCAACTTTTGTGAAAGAATCTCGAAACCTGGATAACCCCACTATGTCGTTAGGTATAACCAAGATAAATCGCACAACATTGATTTTAAAAAACCAGAATTTCAGCAAATCACACCAACGTTGCAAAATGCTTATGATTTGTTGCTTTTTTCTTATTGTTGAAATAATTGTTGTTGTTTTTTTAGTAAATTTGAATTACATTAAATTGTATTACGAGATTCTACGAAATGTTTAGTAAACAAACACGCATTCCTGCATTTGCTTATTATTTATTGTAAACTACACAGAAATTTAATCGCCACAGTAAGAACACTTATTACAACAAAATATATTCTCATATGAATACTCATGTTGAAGATGCTCATGTTGATCACTTAATAAAATAAAATATCGTATTTTAAAAGATATAAAAAAAAAATAAAAGAAATCATTTTTGAACATCTGTATCTACCAAACTAGTGATATTAATATAGAACAGGTTGGGTTAAATCGTCATATTTTCATGTCTAGTATCTCGAGTTTCAAGGTTCTTTCTGACTCTTTGAATTTTGCTCCCTGAAAACAACTTTCATGGTGCATTGGTGTGAGAAAAATATCTTTTATCTCTTAGATTTATTATACTGTGTGGATAAAACATGTTTCTTCAACCATAATCCCTAAACTTCTTCTCTGTTGTAGTTGCGTACGTTTACATGGTCAAGGAGTCACAAATTTGTATATGATGATGCGAAAGGAATAACGGATAACATCAACGGATAAGATACTCAAACTATTAACTATCATTAACTATTTGACTATTTCTGGATCAATTTTTCTTACCTCTTGTCAAATCCATTCCTTCAAACAGACGATGTTCTCGAGTTTGTAAACATACACTTTGCTCGTTAAATGGCGCCATGAAATGAACTCAAACATCGTGACGAACTCCTGTCCATTCAAAAATCCACATCAATCCAATTTTACGGTAAAATATTATTCAAATACATTCAGATACGAAGGGATAATGAGATGATACACAATAGTTATGAAGCTGTTGGTATTGGAAATAAAACTTGCTTCAAAAACTGTAAATGTCTTGCATCAAAATGGCATCATCAACATTTTTTGACAGTCTCAAAATTCCATTTCTTTCTAAATTAGCCCAGAAGATCACTTTTATTGAAAACTATGTAAGAGTCTCTTGCATCTGTTTGCGATTTTATAACGTCCAATATCTACAAATTTGTTGGTTCATTATCCATTTACTCAAAAAAAAGTCATCCAAAGCAATAATATTTTTCACAAACATTAGATTACTATTACACTGAATTTGTATCTCTTCATTAAATAGACGATCAAAATCATGTTTTGATAGTGTAATCAAAAGCTTTTGGTTTAGAAATTCATTTCTAGACCTATTTCATAAGAACTCGCATGAGAATTATCACCAATTCTCAACAACATTTCAAATTACGCTTTTTCGTCAATTATGGAACAATCAGCTCTTACAATTAATAAATCGTAAATGCTCATGATCTATGCATTTGACTACAATTTTACTAACTATATTGGTGTCCAAACGTGATGTACCAAAGTTGTTCTGCTCATATCTACAAAAACATATATCAAAAGAATTTCAATTGAATCATTCTCACAAAAGGGATATTTTTGATATTATGTAACTTACTAGTACTTGCTATATGTACCACGTAATATAATAGGACCAATCGATTTGTTTCTGCTTCTAATTGACGATGTTATTTGGACCCAGAACAATGAAATTTGTACGTCAATCAACAGAAGAAGAATGTTATTACAAAAACTATGCAGAAAATGAAATCTTTTATTGCTATTATTTTACTTATAGATATAGAAAGCTCTCCATCGTGTTATATTTTATATTCAGGACATTCAGAATGATGGTAATTTTATACCATCAAAAATAATCGTAAACCAGTTGATTCCCTGTTAACTATCGTCCATTGCAAAGGCAACCTACAAATGAGAATGGGGTTATAATAAACTGTACAAAATCAGATCATACTGAACAAGCTAGAATCTATTGTGCTTGTATGACTAAAGATCTAGAAGGAAAACGATATAACATAGACATAACTTTTATTATTTTATCACAACTAACATTTCGTTTGCTTTACAACATCTACACACGTGGAATTATAAGCGCAAACAGGAAAATCTCCTCACTGGATTGAAAGGTGATTTTGATTAGGCATTCAATTTATAATATATTCTCATACTGTTCCAACTAAAGTAAATAAAAATGACTAAATATGGCTGAAGTACATTACCTTAAAGCAGTTAGGGATTACCGAAAGTGTATGAGTGGAAATGAGAAAGCTACATAGGAATATTATTGGAAACAGTAACTCTTTCTTATTTTTTCAATATTAGTGATGTATCGAAGCGTTACTGTTTTATCAAAATTCATCGTTGAAAAATTAAAATTGAAAATCTGGTAAAACGATGAAAGTACTTTAATTGACGTCGTGCCTGAATAAGAGCAATAATTACTCGAAACATTTATCGCACTAATTTTACTCAATAAAGTACTTTCATTGTTTCAAACAAAAAACCAATGGTCATATGAATTTTAATACGGTAGAAAGCCATTAACTACAGTTATATTAAGTAGTTTTTGTATACCATTTTAGATATGTACCATTTTCATGTGGTTAACTATGTCACTCATTGCGCAAAGTTTAGCAGCTCCTGTAATACATCATTTATGGTTAACAATTGGTAATTCTAACAGTGGCAACTCTAACTTACTACATTTGATATTCAACCATAGCAATCCACACAAGAATATAAAATCACTCTGATAATAATATGCTATAAACTTTTTTCGAGATTAAATACAAGTTAGTTAAGACGAAAAGCAACCATTGTTTTCTTTTAAAATTTTGTTGAATAAATTTATGAAAAATTTCGTTTTAATAATTCAAAACATTCAATTTCAACATCACAATCAAAGCATTCAATTTTGTGTCAGTTAACATTGCAACCCATTGTTACAATTAGCAAGTTTTAATTTTAACCCAATTGTTATTCTAATTATTTTGGAACACTATACTCGTCAACAGTGATTATATCAACCCACGTCAGACAAGAAAATCTTTTTATATTAAGAGTTAATTTTATCTGTAGTGATTATACGATCACTTAAAAATATTGCCATTCTTTAAGTATCTGATATTCACCAGTTTCAGACTCTCACTCTCAATTCCCTTTCACAACGCTCAATTACGAGAACCACATTGACGGTTTTCATCCGATTATATTCAACAAAATAATTTTTAACATGCCTTATTCCGTTTAACACATATAACGAGATACCCTTTTTCCGCGTTGTTACTCGATATTTTCCTCTTCATTTAGTTTTCTCTGTTAAATCGTTGGTTCACTACGAACTATTTTTAATATAGAGAGCGTTTGCATCTTTAATGAAATAATCATCATGGCTAAACACAGTAACTGCTTTGCACGCTTCAAAAAACAACACAATCTGTTAAAAAAAATATTTTCGCTGAAAGATTACAATTATTTATATTGATCAATGTCTAACACACAAATGTTTGCAATATCATTGTTTGAGAATCACTGTTCTAAAAAAATATCCTTACTGGTGTGATGACTAAACAAATACAAACGTTGGTATCTATGGATATTTAAGAATTAAATTACTAATATAGTAAATATTTTTAAAGATAACTAAATTATATCATAACGTAAACAAACGGAAAGTTTTTAAGCGAATCCTTTGAATTTGATAAAGATCAGATTGTTTCGAATATTTTTAAGATTCCTATAAAATTACAGATGTAATAATGAATGACGTTGAGAACACTAGAATTCCACTGGAATTTTTTGTGTTATTCCCTTTCAAATCTTTTGTATTTTTTTTTGTTATTGTTACCTTCCTTACCTTTACTGACTAAAAGGTAACTAAAAGGTGGTACAATGGGGTTGCACAGGTAGAAGTAATTGTGTTAAAGTGAAATGAAATATGAGCTTACCCAAGAATAACAACTGGTAAAAAGGAACTATTTCCGGAAAATAAATTTTACGACTTTCCCTTAGATAAGCGAAAATCCTTTCCAAACAACTTATATGTAGACATTTTTGTCTACAATCTTTTTCGAATCAAAAGCGATTTATATAATAGGTTTGTAAACAGGAAAAATTATTTGAGAATAGAGACGTTGTTAAATTAAATTGTTAGGACAAGGATATTTCAATTGTAAATGTTCATTATGCTCATTGTTCTATTCTTAATTAAATAAATTGTCTCTTGAACTGTTAAAAATATCTAAAAAAATATATATTAAGCTTTTTCACCCCTTAAGAAAAAATCTATTTTTTCACATTTCAGATCATTTTATTTGCAATGCATATCAGGCTATAATCACTTTCTTAGATGTTATTTACATATTTTCATATTCAACAGTACATTAACACACCAGAAACCTTAAAAATGTTTTAAATAATCGATCAAACTTCATCCATAAAAAGAACATTTTATTTCCATAAATATAGAGGGTAAAAAGTTTCTAGAAAATTTTCATCACAAAATAAATCAAAAATTGAAATCGATAAAAGATGATTTACACCCTTTTTTTCTTTTATGCCCAATTGATATTTAGCAATAAAAATGTAAATTGCAGATTACTCATTGTTCTCAAGTTTTGCGAATTTGATTTCGGATTATTGCTTGCCGGCTTTTGGTTGTGTTTCGGTTTACTCAGAATGGCAAACTGATTCTATAAGGAGAGGGGAGACATAGTTAGAACGCGCGCACCGTGTTTATGGCATTCTATGTTTATCCTCCCCGAAGTTAGGAAGTGTGCAGAGGAAGAGCTTTGAGGAATTTTCAAATACAAATTTCCAACAATCATATATAATCATGGCGAGTAATAAATTTGAAAGAAAAAATGAAACTTTGGCTCCTCTTCATGGGTACATGAAAGTAAGTTTTTAAAATTTTTTTATTTTATTTTGGTAGTATTGATTTGAAATAAATTTAAAATTGGATTCAAAAAGTTTTCGGCCATTATGGTTTCCTTAACTTTCTAAACTTAGATTATACTATAAAATACGTTAAATATTAATTTTACAAAAAAATATTATTTTATTATATTAAATTACTTAAATTGAATTTTTGTTAAGCTATTTTTATAAAGAAATTTATAATTTTATAATCGAATTTTATCATTGTTTTTTTTCTTATCACAATTATTAAATTAATATAATTTATTAATTTTAAAGGAGGCTTTTTGGAAAAGCTTTCTTTATTGTTATGCAAATACAAACCTTAACAATAATGGTAAGTACGTATTTGCAAATGCGAGTCCCCGGGCATAACTGGTTTGAGACACTGGTCGAACCGTTAGCTCTCTCTTGGGGATTTTCCATTCACTGTGTTTCTCCTCATTGATTCGTTAGCCAGGACGACCCGAGGTATAGGAAGCTTTAAAAGAAATTCTTTAGAGGGGATTTTCTCGGAACATATATTTCTTTTCTAATTTCTTTTTATAAAAAAAATTTCTTGTCTGAAAATTTATTTTATATAATTTACTAATTTCTTTAAAGTTACAATGTTTTCTTTAAATTTAAAATCCAAGCTTCAAAGGTATCATTTATTTTCATATCCAATTATAATCTTATATGTATACCAGATATTTTCAAAAAAATTATAAATGTTATATTGCAAAGATGTATTTCAATCATCAATCAAAATTTCATGTTACAAAGCAATGAAAGGAGGATATATATCTTATAATTAATTAATGCATGGAATGTTTCAACTAACAATTTCATAACTTGTTGAAATTGCTGACAAATTAATTACTAAGAAATTTGATAAAGATTATCATCATAATGCAAACAATAAGTAGAATTGTTTAATAAAAATATGATGCGCCCCATTTATTAGTTTCGTAGTTCCATATATCTCCTATAATTTTAATTTTTATACTCCCTTTCTGGTAAAATGTTACACATCCATTATCATCGCTTATAGGTAAATATTGCAAGATACGACCGCTTTGCATTACAGGGCAATGTATAAAGAAACTGCAAAGCACCGGTTTTATTCACCCCACTCATGCAATTATTAGATCCCATTACTATGGCGGAATAAGTTGTACCTATGTTAACGTTAGTGTATTTGTTGAACATCTATACATAGCATAGCTTTATTGGCCACACGCGTCATAACTATTAGCCCATTTTTCTTTATCAAATTTATAATCAAATTGCCTCCTTCCTTGCTTTTGTAAAACTTCAATCAATTTCAATGGAGCAATCAGGAATCCTTGGTGTAGTTGAAAAGTATCATAAATGGGGGGGCAACGTAAGCCAATGATTTGATGATACAAATTTTGTTAGCAAAATTCCTCTGAACAACATATACAAAACTTACAATCTACTTATCGAATGTACCGATTTGTTACAGTATTTCTACTGCACCATAATCAAATATCATCATAACATTGTAGAATGTAAAAATTTAGGCAGTAGAATTTGGTGTAATCATTGAAGTCAAGTCTCAGTAAAATTTACAGCTTGCTCAATAAAGGATTAAGACGTACTTGGCTCATCTATAACCAGTTAACAGTAAAGCTATCACCCAATCAATTAACAAATGTGTTCTCTTCAATTCTGTTTGAGATTGAGAAATGTAAAGACAACAAAGAGGATACTAATTCCTACTACTCAAACGTTTAATTAAGACTAATTTTAACCGAACCTCACAAACACTGACGCCTCTACATACCGTCACCAGTAATATTGTATAAATTTTAATTGTTTCACTCAACACATTCTTTTCTAAACGTTGATAACAATTTTACTATTTTTATTAGAATTATTCTATATAATTGCATTCTCATCACATTTTAATGTAATTCCTGGCTAAGATTAAAGTCTAGGTTTTAACAAAAGTCAATTTGAATAGGTGATCTTTAAAAATTTATGTGTAACGATTTGTTGATTATGGAATGTTAAAATTTAATATAACATCCTTTATAAGCTAAAAAAAAAGATTCATTTCTTAAATACTAATCGATTTACAGTAAATATTTTTTACTTTAATCAATTCACTTTCAACAAATGCCAATTTAAATAAGTAATCTTCAAATATTTGTGTGAAACAAATTGTTGCTTATGGAAAGTTAAAATTTGGTATAACGTATCTTCAAACGTTCCTTGACAACCTCAAAAAGTTTTAATTTTTAATTCTACATAGCATTGAAGAAAATAATTTTTATCTTTAACTTCACTATTGATGATAATATCCTCGATAATAACCTTAAAGATAAGTTAGACCAACTTATCTTTAAACACTGCTTTATTCAAATACTCTTATATAATTGGATTCTGATATAAATTTGGAAATGATGAACGAAGTCGCTGATTTTCACTATTGACATGTTGTTTGATAGGTTTGATAAAAATCAAGTTTGAAACTGAAATGGTGGTTAAAAATGTTATCGTTGATAATCATAGACGATTATTCTGAGAGAGGTGCTGGCCTGAATTTGAATCCTTTTTTATATGCATAAGTTAAACATTTTATGTCATAATATTAATCGCTGGTTATTAAGACTAGCATTTGACGATTTTGTTTACCACTCATCTTGTGTTGTCTTAATATAACGGAAGTTCCAATATTTTCCAAACACTCCATTACATTACATCAATTATATACCGGGTAGGCGACCAACCAACCTTGCACCGCGACCTCAATGCTCTTAACGAACATTAATGCCTTACTCGGTGAAAAGTCATTCAAATCCTTTGGGGAGATAAACTGCAACCCAAAAATTGAAAATCTGGTACGGTTAACAGCAGGGAAGTGGCATAAAACATGCTTAACCGTCTTCTCTTGTTCTGCACATAGTCGGCATTCAACATGGTCGGCTAGGCCCAACAAGTTGAGGTGTGTCTTTAATCGGCAGTGCCCAGTAAAGACACTCATTAGAACTTTAATGCTCCTACGAATAGTCCTAAAACATTCACGAGTTTGACAGTTGCAATGGTGATAAACAACTTAACGTCTCTCATTCCTGGAGAACTGGTCTACAGTAGGTGATGTCTCTCTTCAGCCCACAGTCCACTCCTATGGTTGGCCATCGCAAATGATATACTAATTGCTACTTCTGGTCCCACAAACGCTTTAGCGCTGCCCTCTCGTGCTAACTCATCTGCCGCTTCATTGCCAGCCACCCCAGAGTAACCTGGGACCCAGATCAGAGAATCTCTGTTATCACAACTCAGTATGTTTAAAGTTCTTTTACAGTAATTAACCAGAGCCGACACCGTTTTCATGGTCTGCAGCGCCTGGAGAGCTTCTTCACTCCTTTCACGCACCCATGTCAATAGCAAATACTTCCGCATGGAATACAGTACAATACGTACCCAGGCTGAAAATTTGCTTAATCCCGAGTGTCTGGCACTGCTGTCTCGACACCTTCCGGCTTTTATGATACATCTGTCAACATGCATAAACCATGCAATATTTGCTTGAACCAGAAAATTTTCGTTTTCAATCCAGGACTGCCGTTTAGGCAGTCAAAACAACTACTATTCATTTATAATGTCTAGATACTCTAGATGATTCTTCTATATCTAATATTGATTAAGTACTAATTGTAAGTTACATACTTGAAAGTATAAACTGTAAAAATTAATAACAAAATGTTGTAACAGGTCAACCTAACTAGAGATTAAATATAATTTTTTAAACTAGTCCTAATTAAAATTATTGATTATATTAAACACAACAGTATTCTTTTATTATTTACTTTTTTGTGAGTAAACAAGTTGTTGTTTTATAAATTTAAGTCGTCAACTTGCACTTTATTATGACGCATATATAATTTTATGAAGTCAGCATTTTTGAATAAACCACATCTATTGCGTACTAACACGATTAAAAAAAAATGTTTACTTTTACAAACAGTATAAACATGTAACAGGAAGTAATAAAATAGTCATAACGTTTATTATAAATCGAAGAAAGGGTTGTACGTTGTTCATTTAGGAGAGTATTGGTAATAAATTAATACCCACAAGGAAATTGGTCTAAAAATATCCATAGTAATTTTAGAACTCGTTCAAGAATTTGCTGCTTACACTATCCTATTTAACATCTATTACTAGTAAAATAACTATATTCTATTCATAGTAAAAATTAAATATGATTTTTTTTTATTTGGCTGAAAAATGCTGTGTTGCTTTTGTGCTGATATAAAAAAGATGTACGAAATGTTTTATAATATCGATCCGCATACGTAAGTAGGCATGAATTAAATACACGAATTTGTATTTCAAGGCCATTATAGTTGTGCTTCGTTTATAAATATCGCCAAAAATACCTTGCCCTTACTTTAAGAGAAAACATCTTTAACCCACTTTTCTTTGAAAATCCAATTTGTTTATTAAACAAGACTGCTATTGCAACTTTGCCAAATAATTTGCATAATTTTGTCAATATTATGTAGATATTAATAGTATTTAAGAAAGTTTTTAGGGATCATAGAATAAAACTCGTAACATTGCGAAGAAAAAAAAATTTGTAATAAAAAATTTTTGCGTTAACAATTATATTACATGAAATTGCCGGACATGAAAACCATTTCCGTCGTTATCAAAAGAGATCTCATATTTCCATTACGTACCGGGCGTTTTGTATTTCATAATAATATAAAAGCCTGGTATTTTTTAATTGTTTTCCGCGTATAGTGCACATAATCTGCATGTAACCCGAGAAATCTAATTCTTTATTTCTTGAATAAGACCACATACTTATTCAAAGTTGTACTTTGTATTATTTATTTTTTAATTTATTATGTCACTGACAGCAGGGATTTAAATGTGTTTTAAGACACTATCCTTTTTGAATTAGGTGGTATGGAAAAAGTTGATCGATATAGATATACAGCACATTTACTTTTATTTTGTATTTTAAATAGTACACATAATAGATGAATCAATAAACATTACAAAATTTTAAATGAAATGTCTATGGACTATTAGAACAACAAATCTAACGTTCTGCAATACAACATACAACGATTCAAATGTGTTACCTGAAATATGTTTTCAGTAATTTTATCTGAATACGTCTTTGAATGAATAATACAATCCCACTTTATCTGGATGGTCTATGTCATAAACTAGATTGTAGAGTTTCTAGATTCCAAGGGAGGCAACGAATTCAATAGATTTGATGATAAATAATGTCGCAAAACAGATTTACCTTCATATTGCAGAATTTTGGCGTGGATTAAAACAATTTGTAAAATTCAAACCAATTAGATAGGGGTACAAGTTCTGAATCGGAACTACAAGAAATCGGTGCATAGACTGGATCGGGGTTCAACTACAATTATATTTTAAAAAATTTGAAGATTATAGACTTGGGGCAGATATTGTTCTGCAATTTGAAAGATTATTTGAAGGTTCATTTTCATCTTTACCTCGATACTCGATACCCTTATTAGAAGAATTAAAGATTATTGGCCTAAAGCTTATAATCTGTCCTTTATCTCGTTCTTCTAGTCTAAAGGCGAAAAAATAGTTTAAACGACGGTATTATTTTTAGTAATTTGCGTAAAGGTAATGACAATAATGTTATCGAGGACCATCGAGGAAGATCATTTACCATGGAGGTGGTAAAAAAGACTACGGTTTAGGCAGTCGCTAGCGTTTGGGCTTCTAGAAACAATAGAAACAGTTCTTATTTTCTAGAAATATAAGAAAACAACTAAACAAGGTCCTAGCCGACAGTCAGCAAACCTGTATGAAGATTCTCAATACTATCGGCTAGATCATTTAATCACTTAACAAGAAAGGCAAATACGGTACACAATATGTCATAAAAATGTAACTTTCTTTGCCATAAATACGAAATAGCTTTGCAAATAGTTCACACTGTCATTTCAGGGCAAATAATACTGATTACAGATTGACCACTGTTAAGATCATAATGCTAGAGACCTTATACTTACTTTTTGTGCTTCTAGATTTTTGCTTTAAAACTAAGTATTTTTATGTATTTGTAATATTAACAGTTTGTACATTTTGTTGTATCCACCAATTTCATCAACAATCAAGCAGGACAATAATGCAACCCTATCTTATGATATTGTTTAATCACTTTTCCTTCTCTCGCCATTTTCAAAATTCATAACTTTATTCTTGTTTAATTACAGGTAAATAATATTTTCTGGGGTTCCTCAAGTATCATTAAATAGATTTTTTTCTACTTCCAATTTGGTTTCACCCTGTCAAGTTTTTACCTTTTGTAAAAAACTAGACAAATCATACTTCTTTTGGACGTGCCATTATCAAAAATTTATCAAATGTTTTCAATGAAATTTCTGAATAAATTTGGAACATTTCCAAAGCTGAGGTAGCTTTTCAACTGAGAAGTCAACATTTCCTTTGCTTTAAGGATGCTTTTCCAAGTTCCTTATTCTTTTATTTTGTAAATATACGGACTCTTTTATCTGAATCTTTTTGAGAAACAACTTCAAGTACATATTCTTCATCAGATTCACCTGTCAGTTTGATGTTCATAATTCTGTACTTGTAATATTTGGGTTAAAGATTTTTCTTTCCACTTCGCTTGTTCCAGGTTGATGTACAAATTCAGTTGTTTCCTTATTCATCCTTTCTAAAGAAACCTTCCAATGTTAAACTGCACTCAATAATTTTATGTGCATTACATTGATTATCTTGACTTGGATTATACTTAATTTACCAATGTTTGGTGCTTTATATAAATTATTATTATTTTATCAATTCTCTAAAAATAAAATATTTGATATCTACAAACATTTCTAAAGTAGCAGATAATGCTTTGTGCTAATAGGTAACACTAAAATTCAGTAAAATATAGAGTTACCTACTTTTCGAACTTTATCGACTCCATATATCTTTAACACCTTCAAAACTTCCCCCAATCCATAGTATCAAATCCCACCTTTAAATCAATAAAAAAGCATAAACATTTCTCCCTTTTCTATTTAAACACATTGTTTTTCTGATAAAACTTTCCTCGCTTCCATCTTTTTTGTCAACCTTCTTACTCGTAATATAACTTGTAGTTTTTAATTAATTTTATATTCTACCACGTACCACATTTTACTGACGTATTAAAAAAATTTTTTACCACAATTCTTATTTTTGTATTATAATTTAATCTCACAATAGTAGGTAAAATACTCTTATCTGATTGTTTTAAATTATTGTCTTATTCAACATATGTCATAATATAACAGTGAGAATTCAGTAACATAAATTATTTCGTACGTAAATCACTTCATTCAAATTAACACTTTTTTAATGATTTTTTTTTCAATTATTTCAGAAACCCCAGCTGATACCACAATTCGAAAACCAGAAAAAGGGTGGTGTTGATACAATAATGACTAAGTAAGTACTATAACTCTAATTCGTCAACTGCTAAACTCATTCATCGAAACGGCACACAAACGCTTCTTTTCGGAAGGTACAGACAAATTTAACTTTCGTAATCGAAAATTACATTAAGTATATTACTTTTTTTTTATATTTTTCAAGTTTCACTTACATTTTAATTAGCTTGTTGTTTGTCTCTGATTGTTGAAGTTAATAATTACTTCTTGGGGAGTGAGCGGTTTTGGTTTATAAGATTTTTGTTTTACTATTTATTTTGTGTGAAATTTTGTACGTATGTAGTAGTAATGGTGATTGGATGTATTTTGTTATAATTCTACTTAATTACAGTTTTATTTTTCATTTTGAAACCATGTACATTTATGTTATCGTTTTGAAATTAATCTTCAATAAGAACGAAGTTAAATAAAACGAAATTTCGTATATGTACATGGAGTTCTTGGTTTAAAAAAGATAAACCGAGTGTTGTTGTGATTATATTCTTCTAAGTCTTTCATAAGATTATTGGCATATGACCGGAGCTGTCGAAGTGCTGTACCGCAACGCGTTGCGCTGCAAGTGCTGAAGAGCTGCGGAATATGAGGAGGATTAAGGGTACAATATTTTTCGTTTTAAGTTATAACATATTCTATTTTATCATTTATTCGCCGATATTATTACGTTTATGTTAAACGAATATTACAACTTTTAAAAATAGGATTTCGATACGAATTATCGCGATTTGCATTTCCCATTTTTTCAAGTTCTTTTATTATTTTTTTTTTATTTTGCCAACATTCATTTTAACTTCTAAGCTTTGCACATAATATATTTTTATGAGAATAAGCCAAAACTTTTTTTCCTTTTAATTTTGGTTAATTTTCTTTAAAATAGCCGTTAATAAATAATTATAATTCCGGTTTTAAAATTTGCAAATAGGCAGATAGCAATTTATTAACCAAAATCACATTTATCTTAGAATTTTGCTTCCGATTTCTAATTTAAATTTATTGCAGCTATAAAAGTGAAAAAAATGACGTTCCTGTTACCCTGGCAAATGGATCTACAGTACCTTTGGTGGAAGCACCGGGAAAAAGCGATTTGGAATTAGGAGAATACAATCCTTTTGATCATCGAAAATTAGAACATCCTACATCGTAAGAAATAACATTTACAACATTATTTTCAAAATACATATTAATTTGGTTGCTTTTTTAGCGATTTGGATACATTAATTCACCTTTTAAAAGGTAGTTTAGGAAGTGGAATTCTCGCAATGCCTGTTGCTTTTGCAAATGCAGGTTTAGCATTTGGTTTATTTGCAACATTCACAATTGGATTTATTTGCACTTATTGTGTCCATATCTTAGTGAGAAGCGCACATGAATTATGTAAAAGAACACGAGTTCCATCGCTAGGTTTTGCCGAAGTTGCTGAAGCGGCATTCTTAGCTGGTCCACAAAGTTTAAATAAGTGGTCGAGATTTGCAAAAGCGATGATAAATCTATTCTTAGTGATAGATCTTTTGGGATGTTGCTGTGTATACATTGTATTTGTATCAAAAAATATCAAACAAGTAGTTGATCATCATAGTAGTTCTGATATTGATTTGAGATTGTACATGGCTGTTTTATTACCATTGTTGATCCCAATAAATTTGATAAGAAATCTAAAATATCTCGCTCCGTTTTCGATGGTTGCAAATATTTTAGTAGCAACAGGAATGGGGATTACATTTTATTACATATTCATTGATTTACCAGAAATCTCTACAAGACCAACAATCGTTTCGTTTGATAAATGGCCAATGTTCTTTGGAACTGCGATATTTGCTTTGGAAGGAATCGGCGTTGTTATGCCTTTGGAAAATAACATGAAAACACCAACTCATTTTATTGGATGTCCTGGAGTTTTAAATACTGGAATGTTTTTCGTTGTTTTATTATATGCCTCTGTGGGATTTTTCGGGTTCCTAAAATATGGTGAATTTACCGAACCAAGTATTACATTAAATTTACCACAAGACGAAATGTAAGTTATCAAACATATTTAAAAAAAAATAAATGTTTTAATTAATTTATGTTTTTTAGTTTGGCTCAATGCGTAAAGATAATGATTGCAGTTGCAATTTTCTTCACATACAGTCTCCAATTTTATGTGCCAATGGAAATTATAATGAAAAATTTAAAACAACGTTTTGGAATGAGATCAACGTTAGGAGAATATCTGATTCGTAGTGTTATTGTAATTGGAACTGTTGGAGTTGCGATAGCTGTACCAAATCTTGGAGGATTTATTAGTCTCGTTGGAGCTGTTTGTTTATCAACACTTGGTTTAATATTTCCTGCGGTAATTGATTTAGTAACATTCTATGAAGATCCTGGTTTGGGAAAATATAATTGGCGCTTATGGAAGAACACATTTTTAATTGTATTTGGACTAATTGGTTTTATAACCGGTAGCTATGTTAGTTTGGGTGAAATTTTTAAAGGGGATTAATTTACAATCGATCAAATATCAGCATCTTAGTTTCAATTATTAAAGTAGAATGTATTTCTTTTATAAAATTGAGAAAACAATTGAAACAAACAAGGGTTAATCAAACATATGCAGACTGTAATTTTAAGCTGTGATTGCAAAATTATTTTAGGTATTAATGTATTAATTTCTTAATCTTTAGAATTTCTTGTAGTAATATTAGTAGTATTTTTTTATTGTTTTAGAGCACTTTATCTCTAATGTGATCTGGTTGATTTTTTCATTTTGTATTATTAGTATTAAGTATTTTCTTTTGTGTGGTTTAAAAAATGGTAATCTCTTTAAAACGAAACAAAAAAGTTAAACGTAGATGCTCAATTGCCAGCAGGGAGCAGCTCTCCATATTTTGTATAAGATTTTATACATGTTTTTTAAATAGTATTTAGTTCCAGTGGAACTGTGACTCGGTGCCTTAAGATCTTCTTAGTGTCATACAATGACATTCATTGGATCACTTTTTTTCGATAAAAATGCGATGTGTATATGGTATTATATCACATGTTTTGCATGATTGGATTTTAAAAAAACGATTTTATTATAATTTTATAATTAATTTACTTTAGCTGATTTGAGTGCCAGATTTCGAATTCCTTTATTTATTTTATTATTAATTTATAAAGAGATAAATCGGATCCGAGTTCCTTCAAAAATTGTAAAAAGAAACATTTTGCTTGCTGTTGTCAATTAGTTTTAGATACACCTAGGGATAATCTAACATAAATTGTTATTACGTTTTATCTTTTTAAAACAATATATAAACTTTTTTTGCAACATTTTGTTTTATTATTATTGCAACACGGTTAACATTAGTTCCGCTTTGTCCCTCTTAATTCATGTCACTGCGTATTTAAGCAAAATTAGTCCGACAAAATATTTCAGATGCCAGTACTATACAGCCTATTAGAAACTGTATGGGATTCATAGAAAATTCGTCTAATTTGCTTAATATAAAAAAGGGCAATCTGTCTTAGCTGAAAAGTTGACGAGATGAATACCACATCAAAACGAGACAGATTGAAGCAACTCTGTCCTACTCGATGGATTCAACGACAAGATTCCATTGTTCTAATGACAGAATTGTTAGAGTCTATAATTTCTGCTCTAGAAAACATAGCAACTTGGAAAGATCGAAAGCCAACATCTGGGGCAACATTGTTGAAAAATTCTTCAATTCTTCCGAATTCATATTGCATCTTTTGGTTATGGAAGTCGATTTTTCTTATACATTACCCTTGTCAAAATTATTTCAGATGATAAACACCGATTGATTTCAAGCAGTTTCTGGGAGAAAATGCAAGAACAATGCCGACACAGCTTTTAACAATATATATGACGAAGAAAACCAATTCGGACTGAAAATCATTGGAGAACAATTGAAACAACCGAAATTTATACTTAGACAAAGAAATAGTGCGAATTTTGTCACAGAAACTATAGAAGAATTTATTCCACACAAATGTATCTTAGTATCCTTCGGATGTTTAGTTCCATCGCCAGAAAATATAAACAATTTGGAAGACTTAGATGACGTCTCAAAATCTGTTGCAACAGGTAAAATAGTTTACCAAAAGAATTTCCCAATTCTCCTTTAAATGCGTTATCAATCATTGTTGTTAACTATTCTATAATAAAAATTGTTTATGTACAGAATGGCAAAATAAGCGTGCAAAGTAATGTATCTCGGAAACTACTTGTAGAATATAGAAATAAAACACAGATGTGACCTTTAGACTTGCATAAAATTTAATTTATATCAGTACCGGTTTCGAAGTTTTCACTCCATCATCAGCTGAAAACTATACAGAGAGCGGTTAGTATTTCGTTATATTTTTTATATCTTCTTTATTTTCACATTTTTACATCCATTACATATTTTAATAATAGTTACGCTCTCTGTATAGTTTTCAGCTGATGATGGAGTGAAAACTTCGAAACCGGTACTGATGTAAATTAAATTTTATGCAAGTGTAAACGTCACATCTGTGTTTTATTTCTATATTCAAAATTTCATTTACTTGCAACATGGATAATTTACATAACTTCTTATAGAGACTTGCGGTAAAAAATTTATCGACTAAAGTGGCTAAGAGAAAATCCTGGAAATAGGGGCGATTAATGGTATTTCAAACTCAACCTACCATCAGACAAGATATAGAAAATAGGATTCGGAATGCCATTCACAATCTACCAAGAGCAGGAATGTAAGGAGTCAGTTTTTTCTCAGTTTTGCAGGACTCAGTTTTTTAAAAAAGTATAATATAATTGTTATTAATTTTCTTTTTTCTAGTAGATAGTTTTGCAATTATAATCTGTTTAAAATTATGTTTATTTTTGTCAATATGCCAAATTTTCGTTTCTAATTGGACTAAAAAACAATACAATGAGAAATGCTCTTAAAAGTGAGGTGAAGTATCTTCTAAACTAAGGCACCTAAAAAAACTGATTGAAATCCATTAAATTTTCTCATAAGATCTTCTTTCATTGATATTTTAGGCAGGGTTGGGAACGCGTAATACGTTTTGTATAATAAGTATTATACGTAGAGTATAAAACCGTATAATACTCTGACGTATAAAACCAACGTATTATACGTTGACGTATAATACTGAAATTTTGAAAATTTCAGACTAAAATAAAGAACATAATTGTTGAAAGTTTTTTTGATATGTTGCAAGAAATAATAGTAAAAATAACATAAAACCAACACCAACACCAACCACCATTCTAATCGCAGACTACGATATGTTCAAATCTGATTGCAGATTCGTTGTTTCTTGTAAAGGCGCATGTCTGCAATACTGTATGTAGAGCTGCAAGTATTATACTGAATTATACGTTTTATACGTCAGTATAATACATGTAAGGTATAAAACCTCTTATACGGTAAATTTCCCAACCCTGATTTTAGGTTAGGAACATGATATCAAGGCACCGTTTTCACTAGCTTCTTTGGGCATCATTTTGCGGTTTTTCCATGAAAAGAAAGTAATATCAATAGATTTAAAACTATAATTTATATCAACTTTAAAAGCCATATTCTTTTGTAATGTTAATACAGTGGAACAACATTTTTCACTTCAAGATGGCGTTTACGCCTCCTTACTTTAGCCATTAAATTTTTTACCGCAAGTTTCTACAAGGAGTAGTTTCCGAGATAGAGTACTTTGCACGCTTAATTGGCCACCCTATTACATATGTATGATGCAGAAATGTACTATTTAAAAAACGGCATGATTGGTAATATCTAGCAAAAGCAAATACATAACCAACCGGGACGTCCCTTAAGAGTCTAATCCCCACTACTGCATGTACTGCATACAGTTCTTACAGCTGGTATTTAAACGTGACCCTCCTGAATACGACGAATATTTGAATGTAAAGTATTTATGTTTCTTTAAGGACACAGTAGTTTTTCTGTCATCGACAAACTCGATGATATACTGCCATAGAAGGTACAGCTTCTATTCTATTTTAATCAAAACTTTGAAAATTCAAACGTGAGGCGGCTATATTATGCCAAACACTAAGAAGGAGTATGCATTTATAACATAAATACTGAAGTAAACAACATTTTGGTTGTGAATTTCTCTGCACTATTACATTTTTGATTGTGATGTGCTCCGGAGAGATATATCTTTCCATCTTCAGTAAAATTTTTCTTTACATATAATGATACACTAATTGTACAGATACAGAACCACTCACTAATGACAAGTCCTTCATAAATATTAACCTTTTGTTTAAACGCTTGTCCTTCATTGCCCATGCCCAGCAATATTTCAGTGTTACAGTGTTGTTGTTCTGCTAAATTATTTTGGGTGTTACTTTGTGGTGCATAAAGTATACTTTCTGGCAAATTTTTTTTGTAAAATTATATATTTTTAGAGATCCTCTAATAGTCGGATATTAATGAAAAGTTTGGAAACTATGGCACAAACTAGTCGGAAGACCAAAAAAGGGATGTGAATATCCAGAATGAGACTAAAGAAGATGAAGAAACAAACGCGGAATATTTGTTAGTCAAAGATAAAAAAACCGAATGGAGTAAGAGTCCACTTACAAGTAGGTTTAGCAAAATCAGACAAAAAGATATTGTTTGGATACTTCCTGGCCCAACTTCTTATTCAAGGAATATTCCAGATGTAAGTAGTGCGTTTGAAAAACTTTTCTCTGATAATATTATTGACGATATTATAGAATGTACCAACATAGAAATTGAGAGAATGCACACAAAATTTTCAAGACAACCAAAAACTAAATAACGGTTTTTATAGTATTATACTTCTGATAACTGAAGCTAGAGAACAGAATCACACGAATGTAACATGAATTTTATAGAGCTGTAGACAACCGATGGACCAAGATAAGATATATTTAGAGCTTGTATGGATTGTAACAAGTTTTTATTTTTGCTAGCCGCTATAAGATTTGATGATATGATTTCTATACCCTACAGGAAAAAAACTTAATTGCTATTCTGTTTATCACCGATCAGTTTGTACAAAATTATAAAAAAACATTGCTGACTTGGTATAAATATGACGGTAGATGAAATATTAATAACATTTAGAGGAAGATGTAGCTTTGTCCTGTATATCCCGAATAAGCTCGCCAAATATGGGATCAAAGACTTTTATATCATGCGATTCTAGAACTTTCTCTGCATGATGAATCAGATGAAACCAAAAAAATAAAAAAGAACTTCCACTAGAATTTTTTCTCCAATTTCTCCAATTTTTGAATACTAAACTGTTGCTACCATTGTGTCGTATGTGTCTAAGGAAAACATTGCAGTGGTGTTACTTTCTTCAATGTATGATGATGGACATATAGATACTGAAACTAAGAAACCCTCATTAACTTTGAACTATAATGCCAACAAAGATGGCATTGATATGGTTGATAAGATGTGAGCTACTTATTAGGTATCAAAAAGAACTAGGCGGTATCCTTTTGTAATATTCTTTCAATTAATAGACATATGTAGAATAAATAGCCAGATTTTATATAATGCAGCGCATGTTGATGATCCTCAAAAATATATAAGAATCTTTTTAAAAATTTGTAGATTTTGAGATTTCGATTTTTGATTTTGAACTTATTATTATGATGAGTGACATCTATAGTTTAGTAGTAACACTTTATATTTGACATATATTCCGCCTCCGTTACCAAAACAGAAAATTATCGTGATGTCAATCAGCTGATTATTGAGTTTCTCGCCGTACCGGCTTTACTGCTTACTCATTACGTCAAACGATTTTCTAGGCAAGTAGTCTTTTCACATCATTATTTATTTATCATACGATTTACATTTGTTTAAAAGATTTCCGCTTAAATTAATAATGCAAAATATCACTACATTTAGATGTTATTTTATTTATTTATATTTAATACCAATTTGATTTCACCTTTAATTTTTTAAAGTCATTTTTAACTACATACATACATACTTAATTTTGTAGTCAACAAAACTCTCGAGTCATTAAGATAGCATACTATCGAGTACGCGCAGTGACCAAGTCGATAATTTGATAATAATCGTACTTCTAATATAAAGAAATGTTATTTTACGGCTTACAGTTTTTCAACTTTGCCACTGTAGCCCTACGGACGTTTTCAACGGAAGCTATTCAAAAAATGGCAGATACCGTAACAAATCCACAAAATCCTAAAGAAGCAAAATCCATTTACGAGTTTAACGCATTGGACATTAACGGACAAGCAGTTTCGTTCGAAAAATATCGCGGACACGTTTGTATTATCGTTAATGTTGCGTCTCAATGTGGATTCACCAAAAATAATTACGCAGAACTTGTCGAACTTGATGAATTATATGGCGAAAGCAAAGGCTTGAAAATATTGGGATTTCCATGCAATCAATTTGGGGGGCAAGAACCTGGCGATTCCGCCGAAATATGCAGCTTTGTTTCGAAGAAAAACGTCAAATTTGATATGTATGGAAAGATTGATGTTAATGGGGGTAATACACATCCCTTATGGGTTTATTTAAAATATAAACAAGGTGGTACTTTGGGGGATTTCATCAAGTGGAATTTTACCAAGTTTATTATTGACAAAAATGGGCAACCGGTTGAAAGACATGGACCAAGTACTAATCCAAAGGATTTGGTGAAATCACTTGAGAAATATTGGTAGAATTCCATTTATTATTGTATAAGCTCCATATATTTAAAAATCTTGTATTTTATTATTATATTTTTGCTGGGATGGATTTAGATTTAGAATGAATATGTTTGGTTTATTATTTTTATATTTATAATGCATTTAAAATAAATATTATTTGGAAATGTTTTTGTATTATTTTCTTATTCATTTTAACCTTTATTATACCTTTATTAAGGCATATCTTCTTATTACGTCGTTTTCTTTTGAAGGTCGGCGATCCAATTAGCGGTGATGATTTTTAAGGTTGCAGTCCGAAATACCTCCATAGATGACCGACTAAACCAACGTCGCAGTTCTTTCAAAATGAGTTTTGGTGTCTTCCCACAAATCTTTTTCCTTTTATTGTGCCTTCAATGATTAAAGGGAGAACATGATACCTTTCGCCTCTCATTATGTGCTTTATATATTGTGGTCAAGCATTGTTTCAATGGATATTTTCTCCATCTATGAGATTTTTAGGATTCGACGGTATACATATATTTCGAATGCATTTATTGTATTGTCCAATGATGGACTGAGCATAGACACCCAATATTACACAAGTTTAAAAACTGTTGCAGCATCATTCGTACACTATAAATAGCTACATTTCCTTCTAAATCTAAATCATTTTACATCTCTCACTAAACAAATTCTCTGCGACATATTCAGTTGATATTTGTAATTTATTTAACTCAAAAATATAAAACAACAATGGGACTACAACGTTTTTTAGTTAAGTTAACGGGTGTAGTGTTTAGTGCTTATTCTTTTAGTACAGTAGCAGCAGCAAGTTCGTTAAATAATCCGAAAGATCCAACGAAGGCTAATTCGATTTACGATTTTCAAGCCTATGGTATTTCTGGTGAAGTGGTCTCGTTAAGCAAATACAAAGGTCATGTTTGTATTATCGTAAACGTCGCTTCCGAATGTGGGTTGACGAAAGACAACTACGCCCAGTTGGTTGAGATTTACGATGAATATTCGAAATTGAAAGGTCTAAAAATTCTTGCGTTTCCCTGTAATCAATTTGGAGGACAAGAACCTGGAGATGATGCTCAAGTTTGTACATTCGCGTCGAGGTACAACGTAAAATTTGATATGTTTTCGAAAATTGATGTTAATGGAGGAAATGCTCATCCACTTTGGGTTTATTTGAAACATAAACAAGGTGGAACTTTTGGCGATTTTATTAAATGGAATTTTACTAAGTTTATCATTGATAAAAATGGTCAACCCGTTGAAAGACATGATCCTACTACTAAACCTAAAGATTTAATTAAGTCATTAGAAAAATATTGGTAATAATTATTAGTTTTATGATTTTTTAATGTAATATTCACGCTTTTATAACGAAATAAAATGTTTTAAAAAATCTTATTTTTTTCCTCTACTTTACTAAGTTGTTAAAAGATAAAATAGGTGAGTAAGTGCGAAGGTGTTCAAAAAGACATATCTGTCAATCGATACCTACTTATGTAGCCTTATTATATATCAATAATTCAATGAACGACGAAGGTAATGACAACCTTAGACACGTGTCCTTTTTCCCCGTAATTCATCCTACATTAAGAGTTTTATTGTTCACTGAAATTATAAAAAGAAAATGGAGAAGAAATGCCATTTACTGTTATACATTTTTTATGTGTTTTGATGCCATAAATTCGAAGATCATTAATTATCATTATAGATAGGTTTTAGATATATAACTAATAATAATTGTATATTTACACGATTAAGACATTAAGATACATTTCGCTCGAACCTAAAAATAATTTGGTGTTTACCCGATTAAGATACCGTAATATAATTCTTCAAATTAGTATAATTAGATTATCTAATCGTCAGACTGGTTTAGATATTAAATGGATAGGTAGATTTAGTACGTAGATCGGGTCAGGCTCATTGTGAATGTTGCATAGGCTCCAATCGCTCCTATCCTGAATACAATTTTCGTACGACTTTTTTATGAAGAAATTTTTATGACAACCACCTCATCCGTCGAAGATTTAGACAAAATATTTCAAACAATGTTGCTCTCTTCTCAAACTCAAACTCCAACAGCTACAATTACCGCTGCGAAAGCTATTACCGATTGCCTACCGACCTTCAATAGAGATGGAATGCAACTAGAAATATTCATCAATAGATGCGAAAAATTTTATTTTATAACACATATGGGAAAACAGTTGATAATTTGTTAAACGACTACGTATTCCACGCAATTTGTTCTAAACTCAGAAATGAAGTATCAAGTTTTTTGATGTGCTGACCCGACATAACTACATGGTCGCAAATTAAAACTGCTCTAAGAACATTACGCGATCGAATAGACAGGTAGACACTAACGCGTGAATTTCTCCAATTTACAAAATCAAGGAACGAAGACCTAATGGATTTTCTAGTAAGACTAAAAGTTGTGAAGTCCCGAGTGAATGTGAAGATCCAAAGAGCTCTATTATTCAAGGCGGATCAAAAAGCGTTGTTTATGACTCAAAATGAATTAAACACACTCGACGTTCTATCCTCCAACTGAGACGATAAGCTAACGATGCTATTAGACATGAAGGAAGTCAAAGCTCTAAGTCAAGCCACCGAGATAGTTATTAGGCATTACCACAATCACAGTAGAATAGATACCCAACCCAACCCAACCCGTCAATAAATCACTTCATAACGTGATTCACTTCCAGATGATTCCCCAAATAAATAAACATTCAATTAGTTCTCCATATCTAGCACCTCCGCAAACAAACTATCTTTCTTATTATCCGTAAAACCTTTACCCAAACAACCAGTTTGGATCAACACAATATCGTCATTTCAAACCTACCAACCAAAATAAATTCCCGTCACAACCGACATCATTAAGATCAATTCCAACCCAACAACAAGCATTCCCTACGAACTTACAAGTATTTGGCAATCCAATGTCGTACAAAAATATAAATGTATTCGCACCAAGAGGACCACAAAAGGCAGTCCCTCCGCCAGAACCAATGGACACGACTAGAATTGGGTCAACTCGTTTTATAAAACCGGGTTAACTCGGGTATTTCAAGTCAATTCGAGTTAGACTGTTACTAACTCGAGTTGGATCCTTTGTCGCTACCACCGGCTTCTTCTTCATCTCTTGATGTTGAACCTCCAATAAAACGATTCAAGCAAACTCGTTTAACCGTACCGCCAAAAATGTTGAAGAAATCTGGAGATGATGCGTTGGTTCAAATGATAGTTCAGGATTGCCAACCGTTATAAATTGTCGAAAATAAAGGTTTCCGAAAATACACCAAAATATTAAATACCGATTATGAATTGCCTCAAGAAGAAAATTGATTCAGATGTTGGAAGAGAAGTATAATATTGAGTCTACAACTTATAAGAAAAAATTGCAGGACGTTGATATGTTCAACGTGCTTTGAAATCAGATATTTGGACGTCAGACAATAATAAAAGTTTCATTAGTCTGACCGCCAATTTAATAGAAGAAACAAAATTGCAATCAATAGCTATTTCTACTTCAGAAATACAAGATAATCATACAGCTGAAAATATAGCAAATGTTATTCAAGAAATATTGGACGAGTGGCAGATAAGTTGTAAAATAGTGACTGTAGTTACAGACAATGTAGCTTCAATGAAAAAAGTTAGCGAAATTTTAAATAAGTAAAACTATTTCTGTGTTGCCCATCCTCTTAATCTTGATGTGAAAGAGTGTATAGAAAAAGATAGAATTAATTAAGGAGATACCATCTCTAATAATAATCAGTTATTGCAAGTAATAAATAAATGCCGAGCGATTGTTTCTCATTTTAAACATAGCACAAAATCTTCATATCGCCATGCAGAAGCAAATGAATTTGGATGAGATCAAATTAAAGCAAGATATTCGCACTCGCTTGAACAGTACTTTTCGTATGCTCGAACGCCTACTAAAGCTCAAGGTTCCGCTTTCTGCTACTTTACTGACACTGCTATCACCTCCACCGAATCTGGATTCTGAAGAGTGGTTATTTGTTGAAGGTAACTGCAATTTTATCCGGAAAAAAGTATCCATCGCCATCATCTGTTATACCTCTTGTATTCGGTCTATAAAATACCATTAATAGCAAAACTCCAATGATACAGGCAGGCAAGCACTTACAAAGAACTCTTGTTGTTATAATAGAGACGCGACTTGGGGTTTATGAGGTTAATAGAACACCTGCAAAAGCTACTTTTCTTGATCCGCTGTTTAAAAAATCAGCATTTAGTTTAGAGAGCAACGCAAACAATGCGCAAATGTGGATAATAATTGAGCTAAACGACTACTTATCAACGGAAACCTTGAATTCAACCGAATAAACTTCTACATCTGCTGTTTTTGGCGCTGCTTCTACATTTACTATTGAAGATGATATTTGGGGTGTTATAGACCGAAAAATATCAGAAACCGTAGAGAAGTCCAACTTCACTACAACTTGTTCAACAGGCACGGCGATAAAGCTATATATTGAATTACCATACAGAGGCAGAAAACAAGATCCCCTCCAATTCAGGAGTGAAAAAGGTATTTTATGTAATGATCGAAGACACCAACTAGCACCTAAAAAACTTAATCAAATATTGTTTCACACTACATTGTATTAAAAATTATTTTTGTAATTCAACTTTGAATTAGTGTAGATTCGTTAAAATATATTCTTTTCTGAATTATAGTAATTTATTTATTGCCTACGGTACAATGTTAATAACAATGTCGGACACTACCTAAAAAATACCACAACGTGAGTCAAAGAACACAATATTGACTTAGACATCCATCTATCTGCGCGGTTTGCGAATTTACAGATTTTAGATTTTTGCTACCAACTCGGTTTGACCTCTGTTTACGAAAATTTTAAACTCGGTTAACTCGGTTTGGCGAAAACCCGAGTTGGCCCATCGCTAGACACGACTTCTATTAATCGATCCTTGAGATCGAATCAATTTCGACCACCAGTCAACAGGAACCTATTTTCGAAATGGGTACCAGGGCCAATATCTCAACAACTACGACTATTCGGAATCCTATTATAACATGTACGAACGATTACAATATTTAGAAAATCCAGCAACGTCGGAAGAAATCGTTCAATCTTCACATAATATCCAACAATCGGATTTTCGCGAGGATCACTTAGAAGAAAACCAACCATAGACCTCAATGATGTCAATCGAATTAATTCTTTACCCTACATACAGTAAAAAACCTATTTATCTTGAGACTGTACATAGCCGAACGACTCTTCGCAAATACTATATACCGCAAATGTACACCCATATCAACTTGTGCAGGAAACAGAAAAAGCGAGTTTAAAGGTAAAATCCCGCTACGAGAATTTAACATCACTGAGGAATTCGAATTTGTGCATTTCACGAATACGTCGATGGTATTATCGGAACATGAGATTTAAAGGAGCTGAACTTCATGTTGGACTTCATATCAGCAAAATTATATATCGAAAGAACAAGCATCCCCTTCGCAAACCAAAATGAATTTGATACGCAAAAGGTGGAAGTTCCACCAGAATCCTCAACCATCAAAGATATCAGAACGAACCTCCTCGAGGGAACAGAATTTACCTTAAAGGGTATAACAATAGATAAAGGTACTGGTCATATATTCGCCTGCATTACCAAAGTAAAAAATGGTACAGTCGCTATTGGGATCCAAAACAATACCAACCAGAGTCAACTAATAACATTTTCGACAAACTTTATAAAAAACTTCGTAACGGTAGTCAATAAAAACGAAATAGAATGTTACTACATAGAAAATTTCATGACCCACACACAAGTCATACCAACCAGCCACATCACTATAGAAGATTTGCGTACCGACCACCTAAATAAAGGGATTGTAACAGTCATGTGAAAGTCATGTACCGTCATTATTTCCCTTTGTGTTGTTTTGGTAATTGTCTTCACAGTTGGCGTTTTCATTCCTTTGAATTCTTAGAACTAGAACTTCTTCAATTTCCTAGAACTTTTTTAATTGAGCGTCTTCTTCTACTCGGTTTATCATGCTTAAAATTTATCTTAGCTTGTTTCTCTTTCATTGTTCCTGATAAAATCCATCGAAACTTCGCCTTCTGTCCCAATAATCCATGTTCAATGAATCCCGTCTTGAATAATTTTTCCATATTCTTCTGCTCCGATGATAGCATCAACCACGAAACTGGGACCACGAATATTGTAGGTGGGATCAGCTAGGATTTTGTTATTCCAGTGTTCGTCTGAGGAAATTGGTACGCTTATAGGCCGAGATGAATCCATCAGTAGCTACATCATGAAGGATTGCTGTGGACTCCCGTGTGTAGAAAT